TGACTTTTGAATCAAAAATCAAGTTCCAAGAATCATATTTCGTTAAGGCATGAAATTGGTTCATCAAAAATCAAAAGTCAGAAGTTACTTTGAAAATCAAATTTTCTAAACATTTAGAAAATTTTCTAAGTGTCTAGAGAATATGACACTTCAGAACTTCTGAGCCAACCTCTATGCAAGTGCAGTCAGAAGTTGCAAACACGGTTTAGAACATGATGCTTCAATCAGAACATGCAGAAGCGATGCTCTTTGGTCACAACATGACGCTTCAATCAGAACATGCAGAAGCGATGCTCTTTGGTCATAACATGATGCTTCAGTCAGAACATGATTCTTCAGCATATGGAGGCTATGTTCAACGCTCCGGTCAGAAGATGCCCCTTCAGCATTTGGAGGTTACGTTTTTGATCTTCTATGATCAGAACATCACCAAATCCCAAACCCTCGTTTAAGTAACTTGCTGCCCTGCTATGGCACAGTTCTGCAACCAGCTGCCACAATGCTCCAAATTGATGTCGACCCAGTCCACGCCTGCACTTTCTCAAACCCCATATTTGCATCAAATTAGCATACGGAAACTGTGACTAAAAAGCAATGGAACAGTATACCAAAAAAGTTTGAATCCCTTTTATTCCCCCCCCCCCCCCAAAAAAAAAAACCACAACAAACCCATCTATAAATACTTTGCTCCACCACACGTTCAAGGGCTGGCTTTTGGAGAGCGAATCGTCAAAAAGAGAGAAAAGAAAGTTGTGATACCTCCACAAAAAATCCAGAATTCCTAAGAAGAAAACCAAAACCCTTGTTCTTCCCTTGAAGTAAAAGAACTTGGCATTTCCTCCTTCGTTGCTCTTACTGATTCCAGAATATCTGAAGACAGCAGCTCAAGTCCCAAACACACGTTCCAAGTTCAAGGTAAGTCTTTCTGACTCTACATCTTTTCATTCAGAACATCATTAAACATGTAGATATCATAGTATTGATGTTGTCCATATCATTGTGTAAGTAGAAAGACTGAGGATCAGAACTTCTTGATTAAGGCTAGACTCAGGACTAAGATCAAAACTTCCATAAATTGTTGTGTTGTTTATCCTTCTGATTTGCTGTTTGCTGAAAACTAAATAAGTTATCATTGTGCTGGTTAAAATTGAAATATGGAATAGAACTTCTGATGTTCACTCACAGTTTTAGTATAACACAGAACTTCTGAGTTCTCCTCACTGTTAATGCACACTGAACTTCTGATGTTCACTCACTGTTTTAACACTTAGAACTTCTGATTTTCATACATGCTGATAACGTTGAGCTTCTGATTGTTCATTCGGTGTCTTAGCACCATACAGAACTTCTGAGTTCTTCCTACTGTTTTGACACGCACAGAGATTCTAAGGTTTTCTCACTGTTCTAACATTCAGAAGTTCAGCACATAGCAATCCAGAACTTCTGTGTTTTTCCTCTAACATGTCTTGCAGGACCTCAGAGTTTACCAACTCAGAACTTCTGGTACCCACTGACGTCTCCTGCTGAGTCACGCGCCTAGGCTTCAGAACTTCTGATCCATGTTTGTTTTGCTTGCAGTAGCACACTTTTTTTATCCTTCATTTATTTTCCTTTTCCTCATTTTTAATATTAACATAAAAGACAAAAAATATTTTCTTAAATAAAACTTATTTCTTTTCTTAAATAAATAAGCATTTTACATTTCCTGTACATTATTATCTATTTCAATATGGTTGTAATAGTAACTTAGGACTTATTTTTACTTGTAACCCCCATTCATAAATATGTACCCCCATCCCTAAAATATTGTAATAACGTAGGACTTTACATTTCTGCAATTTATCGCTTTTGAATGTAAATGCTAGGAATTAGGGTGTGTATGGCAAGACATGAAATTGACAAATAGATCACCCAAATCAAGACTAAATACATGCAAATCAAACACACTTGCACACTAGCACCCATAAGGTTAATCTCACTTGTTGCTTATTGGAAAAAATAGTCATGTCCCTCGAACATGGGTATTTTAGCAAAGACCCTCGATAAAAGATCGTAGTCCCTCGATGACTCTCGATGTTGCCTTCGGTAAAAGATCTAGTCCCTAAACGACATTGCTAAAACGTCTCATAAGTTGCCTTCTATGACTATATAAACGTCCCAAAGTTCGTCCCTTCACATCCAACGTTGGGGCTTCTTACCAAAACAATGGTAATATAGCAACATCTAAAGGAGGAGGAAAAGCACATTTAAGACCTTTTGAGTAGGTAGATTCGCTCCTAGTTACTCGCTTTCTCACAACAAAAACATTTTACACACCAACACTCTCATTTTGAAACATTTTTAAAAGATAACACTTTGTACGCGTTCTTATAGAAACGAGAGCCATTACAAAGAAAACCCTTTTCAAAATCAATTTCAAAAACACATCCCACAAACACCTCTTTGAACTATTTTCAAAACAAAACTTTGTATGCATTCTTATATAAACGAGAATCATTACAAAGTTACATTTTCAAAATACTTTCAAAACCCACACCACAAGCACATTCAAACAAAATCAAGTGATCTAGCGAGTAACTAAGAGCCCATGGAAAACCATGGATGAAAAGGGTGCTAATACCTTTCCTTTTTATAATCTACCTCCTGAACTCAAGAAAACATCTCTAAAGGTCTTTCCTGGGCTTTTTCACCTTTCTTTTTGGATAAAAGAAAAGTCGGTGGCGACTCTTGCTAAACTGCAACATTTGCAAACACAAACGCAAAACCTCAAGTCAGTTCTCCCACCGCATCACAGAGATTAATGTTGATCACTCTTTCTTAGAGTTAGTTGAGGGCTTTATCATTTGTAAGATTAAGTCTCTCCATTTTAGGTATCAGGCTTGCCAGTAGGAGCCAATCCTCGATCGGTTTCTACTTGGGGACCCCCAATTAATCTGATTTTGAAGAGACTTCATTCTTGGAGCCATATGTATGTCATTTTAGGGGTAAAGTTATCCTCCTCAACTTGGTCCTTAATGTTATGCCTCTTTTCTTACTTTATTTCCTATAAATGCATGTGAAGATGTGGAAAAGTTTAATTAGGATTATAAGCATATTCCTTTGGAGTGGTGTGAAGGGGAATGATAAGATCTCTTGGGTGAGGTGGTTTGATGTATGTAAGTCTGAGAAGAATGAATGCTTAGGCTTAAAGATCTTCTATTGGTAAATATTACTCTCTTAGCCAAATGGAGAGGTAGACTTCTTATGGTTGCCTTATGTTTGTAGTTTGATATTCTTTCTGTCAGGTATGGTGTATCATGTGTCTCTTCCTTGTATAGGGGAAGGTCCTCGAGACTTTAGTCTTGTTCATCCTGATGGAAAGGGGTATCCTTTCTAGGATCTAAAAAGGACAACCCTCTAATTTATTTGAGTTATTTTTTATTAAGAAGGTGGGAACATGTTTCCATACTTCATTTTGGAAAGATCCTTGACTATGAAATACTCCCCTTAAATCTAGATTCCTAGGTCTCTTCTCTATTTCTCAAGTTCAAAAAAGGACTATTAGTGAGGTAGGAAAGTGGGAAGAGGGGAGAATTTTGTGGGATCTTAGGTGGAGAAGATCCTTCTTTATCCAGGAAGAACCTCTGGTATCAACTTATTTCTTGGGCCTCTAAGAGGTTCAGTTTAGCAAGGAGAGTGATATGAGGGTTTCAAGGCATTCTAATGATGGGTTTTTTCGGTGGCGTCGGTCTACCAAGTCCTTGATGATTTTCGTCAGGCCTCGAACTCTCATTTAGTTAGGGAGTTTTCATCTATCCCCCTTATTTAAAATAGATAGGCTCCCTCTAAGGTGATGGTATTCTCGTGGCCACTTCTTTTGAATATATTCCGCTTTAGAGAAAACCTATTCAAAAGAAGGGTTATCGTTAGTCTGGAGGATATCTCTTGTATACTTTATAGGGACTAACTTGAATCGGCCTCCCACTTGTTTGACACTTGTAGTCTTTCTTCCTATGTTTGGTATAATATCTTTTGATGGTTAGAGTTTCAGGTGGTTCTTCCTAGAGACATCAAGTCTCTTTTTGAATTATTCATCTCTTTAGGAGCTAAGCCTAAGCCTAGGAGAGTCTTTGCCATCATTTGGCGTGCTGCAGAGTGGTCTATTTAGTTAGCACAAAATGAGAAGCACTTCCCTGATAAGACAACAAACATAAAAGAGTTGGAAGAGAAGAGTAATTGTTTGGTTTGGAGTTGGTTATGTAGTCAATTATCTATGAAATTATTGTCTTTCTCCGTCCGACTTCAGAATCCTATCCAATATCTTGACCAATAGCGAAGTAAGTGGTCTGATACTTCAGAGTTGTTCAGTGATTCTTGGTGTATTTGTGTGTTAATTGCAGATTTGGTGACCTGAGATCAAGTTGTGGTTCCGTTGGGTGATGGTTTGTGGTGCCATTGTTGTTTTAGAGCTCTGTTTTTTTTCCCAGTTAGATTATCTTTATATAATTTGTTTTTGATTGTTTCTATTTTTATGTGTTTTGGCTTTTATTTGTTCTTTTGATATTTCTTATATTAGTTAGGCTTTTATACTATCTATCTATATATATATATATATATATATATATATATATATATATATATATATATATATATATATATATATATATATATATATATATATATATATATATATATATATTATGTTGCCATTAAAAAAAATATATTAAAAAACAAAATTTAGTAATATTGATTGAACCATTCCTAAAATGATTTTCATGATACTTGAAAGACTTTTCTGAAACTTTTAAAAAAAAACTAACAATGAAAAAACATATAGATCACGTGTAGTGACACTCTATTCCAGCCAAACCAAAGCCACGTGTAATGATCAATACTCTACTAGAACTTCATTGAAACAACACTGTTGGTAGCGGCTACCTCAATTTGCTCAATATTCAACTCATTATATAAGCCTCAGTTGCTCTGTCGCATCGATCGTTAACAACAAAACAAGCTTGAAGATGCAGGAAATCGGCAAGACTGAAATATGGTTAAGGAAACACTGTCCTGTCTACAATTCAGCCACCAAACACCCCTTTATTCTCAGCATCCGCGACGGCACTGTTGAATCTCATTCCTTCAAAACATGGCTCGTAAGTCATAATTCACCTATTAGATAGATCTCTGATGAATCTTTTTGATTATTATTCCTTCATATGTTGTTTTTCAGGCACAGGATTACTTGTTTGTTAGAGAGTTTGTTCCATTTGTTGCAAGTGTGTTGATAAAAGCTTGTAAGGAATCAGATGTTAGTGATGATGTTGAAGTTATATTGGGAGGTATAGCTTCTCTCAATGATGAGTTATCATGGTTTAAGAAAGAAGCCAAGAAATGGGATATTCAATTATCCGAGGTTGTTCCTCAAAAAGAAAACAAAGATTATTGTCGGTAGGTTTACTTATTAATCATTTGTTTTAGTTTTAACCGCAATTGTTTTTTTAAGGTAGTTTGATTCTGTTGATGTTTTTGTTGTGATAGGTTGTTGGGAGGTTTGATGAGTTCAGATGTGGGGTATACTGTTGCTCTTACTGCATTTTGGGCGATAGAAGTTGTGTATCAAGAGAGTTTTGCGTCTTGTGTTGAAGAAGGTTCGAAAACTCCGGTGGAATTGAAGGAGACTTGTGAAAGATGGGGGAATGAGGGGTTTGGTCAATACTGTCAATCTCTGCAGAAGATGGTTGATCGGCGGTTGTTGAAGGCTTCTGATGAGGAAGTGAAGAAGGCTGAAGTTGTGTTTTTGAGTATTGTTGAGCATGAAGTTGAATTCTGGAACATGAGTAGTGGAAATTAATGTTTGGTTTAGGCCCTAAACCCATGTTGGACGAGAACTTACAGTGTGTAATTAGCCAGCTCAGTTTAAGTGTTGAGGGAAGTTGTGTAAGTTATTAACTGACAATTAATGAGCTAGTCTATGAAACATAGACGGTCATGGAATGTGAGTTGGAAGAGACTGTCATGGAATGTGAAGAGTTGGAAGAGGTATTGCAATCATAGTCATTTAAGGTGGCCTGATTTATTAATGGTTTTAATGGTGGTTATAGGTGTGTGGAGAGGAAGATGTAGTTTTTGTAAGTTCAATTAAATCTCTTAGAAGATTAAAGATAAATGCGATTGATCATTCTATTTGTTAATGCTGTTCGGTTAATAGTACTTATCTCTACCCTATGAGTTTACAATAATATTATTATCTTCCATAATATCCTCAACAATATGAGTGATGCATATACAATATTCATATACTTAACAATATATTCATATATTTATCAAATTTTTATGAAGATTTTTTATAAGACGATCACATTTTTAAAAAACTAACCATCTCTATTTTAGCAAATATCAAATTTTCTTGAAGATTTTCTACAAGACATTTTTATGAAGATTTTTTATAAGACAATCACATTTTAAAAACTAATCATCTCTATTTTAGCAAATATTGACTATCACATTTGAACATTTTGAAAATTGGTAAGACACATATTTGTTTAACACTAAAAAACATGTAACAGATTCAAGCAATATCTGAATTTGTCACAGATGAGTGACTTGGTTAATATATCAACTGTATTATTTTGAAGTATGAATTTTTTAAGTAATATTTATTCATATGCAAGTAAATCTTTGATCTTGAGAAATCACACATCAATATGCTTGGTTCTGAAATAATATATCTGATTGTTTTTCAAATAAATGGTAATCTGACTATTACGCTGCAATCAAACTCTATATTTTTAACACCTAATTCTTTTCTCAATTTTGTAAGTCATAAAGCTTTTTTTTAGCTTCATTTGTCGTCATATACTCTATTATAGTCTTTGATATGACCACTATGTATTAAATCGATGATTTTCAACAAATAGGTCTTTCTGTTAAAAAATACATATCAAGTTGTAACTCTTATTGTTGGTGCATGTGTGAGTGGTTAAAGTTTCACATTATCTATGAATAGGTAGAATTTTATATTTATAAGAGAGAACACTCATTTACCTAACATTTTAAAATTTGGATTGAGATATGGTCTCTCTCTCTCTCTCTCTCTCTCTCTCTCTCTCTCTCTCTCTCTCTCTCTCTCTCTCTCTCTCTCTCTCTCTCTCTCTCTCTCTCTCTCCTCTCTCTCTCTCTCTCTCTCTCTCTCTCTCTCTCTCTCTCTCTCTCTCTCTCTCTCTCTCTCTCTCTTGTGGTCCTGGAGCATTAGTTTCATTGGTGCTCCCCGACTTCCCCGTACTCTCTAATAGTGGTATCAAAACTTAGTTCGACTTGGTGGGGCAGCGTGAGTTGGATCCAGTGTTAGATCCTGTTATAGGATGTGGGAAACTCACATTTATGGGGAAGAATGTTGGATGCAAGTGTGAGTGGTTAAAGTCCTACATTTTCTATGAATGGGTGGAATGTTGGATTTATAAGAGAGATGACACATTTACCTAACACTTTTTTTGAATTGAAATGTGGCGTCTCTCTCTTGCGGTTCTGGGGTATTATTTCTATTTGTGTTCTCGATTTTCCCGTACTCTCCAAAAGTGTGTAATTTTAATTGTATCAAAATATTAAGAAAAACAAATCATAGAGAAAAAAGAAGAACAAAATAAGACACAAGAGATTAATGTAGAAACTATAAAATAAGAGAAAAAATTATGACCGTTATTATGTGAAAATTATTATAAAACATAGATTACCCTCAACCACTCCAAGGCTCCAATACATTCACACTCTCCAAAGCAAATATTTAAGGCTTAAACGCAATTTTGGTCCACCTATTTTATTTTTCTAACGAAATAGTCCCCTTTAAAAAAAATTATATTTTAAGTCCCTACTTTTGAATTTCCTTAGAATTTTTTTGATCCCCTCTCAGAGATTTGTATATGCGGCAGTCTCATTTATGACGTGGCACTGCATAGTTTAACCAACTTTGAAAAACTCTCTGCCACATCATTAATTTTTATTTTAATTAAAACAAAGTAAATAAAAATAATTAAAATTATAAATTAAATATATGAAATTGAATAAATAAGGATTATTCTACTATCAGATTTTGCAAACTCAGATGTCCTAATATTCCTTTATCTTCTTCCCCAAATTCGTAGCCAAACCCAGAAACCTTAATTTTTTCAGATTTCTTTGTCTCGCTCCCCAAATCATATCACCTTCAGTATTCGTTTTTCTTCACGATGTCATAATATTCAACATCTAGTAGTCACTCGTTCTCTCGATTCAGTGGCGAATGCAAATGTGGTTTTCCATTTTCATTGATGACGACTTGGACAGATTTAAACCCAGGGCGTCATTTTTTGGATGTGGGAAGTACAAGATATATGTTTGATATGTAAATTACTTTTTATGCATTATTATGATTTCCAAAAAATACAACTTTCTTCTTCTTTAATTGTAGTTACAGGGGTATAAGAGATGCAATCATTTCGTCTGGTATGATGAAGAAATGGGTCAAAGGGCCAAGGATATAATAGTTCCAATGCACTAAAAGTTAAACCAAAAAAAGGCCAAGCTAAATGAAGCCCTTATTAGAGAGGAATAATAGAAGTCTAAGATCAAGTTCTTGAAGATGATGAACAAGTTTACAATAGGAATGACAATAATGTTGTTAATTGGATTTATTGTAGCAAATATGTTCAATTAAGTTAACTGTATTGAGTCTGTTTGAACAAAATTGAGTTGAGAATGTTAGGTTAAGTTGATTATGTTGTGTTAGGTTGATAATGTTAGGATGGGTCTGTTAAGTTATGTGCAATATAATGTCCTTGATGTTATGTACTTGATGTTTCAGTTGTCAATGCAATTTAATTTGAACACAATTTTCATTAATCATTTGAAATTGAACATTAGTTCATGACAGTTGTTGAGTATGTTATGTACAAGACTAGTTCATGACATTTGAACATTAAACAATTGGAACAAGATTACATCATGATAGGTGGTAATTAAACACTTGATTTTTGAACAAAATCTACCCATAATATTTGAACATTAAACACTTGACAATTGCATAATAATATTGTATATATTTGCATTACATTGAAACTTATAACCAAAATGACACAACTTTGTTCATGACAACATAGGTTATGACAATTACATTACATAGTTCATAATGACATAAAATGACACAAAAAATTCCAAAATGACAGAAACCATAGTTCATGACATAAAACATAGTCTTGACATAAAATCCATACATACAATTTTGGGTAGGTTGTGGAGCTTGTGAGTAGGGTCCAATCTCTTGAGTAGTATATGTTTCACCCTTTGCCTTCTTCTTCTTTCCCTTTGCACCCTTTTTCTTCTTGATAGTTTTTTTTTGTTGCCCCATTTGGCATGGCCCTATCTGCTGCCCTATTTTCTGTGCAAGTTCTCATGTTATGGCCCATAGCCCCACATGCGTAACATGTTACAAATGGAAGCTTCCTTGGTAGAACATGTGGTTTTCTTGGTTCATCATTTGTTTTGTTTCTCATTTTCTTGGGGAGCCAAATTGCTCCTCTCATCACAGGTGGATTGACTACCAATGCATCATCTACATGCCATGGTTGTGGTCCATTAGTTGGGTAGATAATGTGTCAGTAGGTCTTTTGTAAGGTTAATTTCTTGCACAAAAGTAACACAACATTAAGAAAATATGACACACAATATAGACAGAAAATTCAACATAATTCATACAACCTATAATACTCAGAAATGTATTCTTCAGGTTATTTTTTGATATGCTACATGCATGATATTACATGGCTACATGGGATACAAGACAAGTTCCATTTCCTACAAGCATATGTCTCATATTTAAGGTTCACACAGTAGGTTTCAATTCCATTGTTACCCCAAATATATACATGTCATCACACCATGCCAAGTTGTGGTCCAACTTTCAGCAAATCTCTTGTTCTTCTCAAGCACTAATTGAATTCTAGGGCACAAATTACCAGGATATTTAACCATCAATTCTTTTTGATGGGTAATCCTTTTGGTCAAGTAATGTTTAATACCTTTTAAAAGGGTGATAATTGGTCAAGTAATGTTTAATACCCAAAACCGAACCCTAGAAGCCACAAACGTGTATGAGGCGGCCTCTACTGCTGAACACAAATCTAATGCCACAACTCTAATAGGTAAAAAAATCACTCTTCATTAAAGATCTCCAAAGAAAAAAAAAACAAAAATCTCTTAGTTGTGATGAAAGAAACATTAAACAACCATAACCACTCTTAATTGGCAATCCCTTGATAAAACCTTTATCTCAATTAACGATCCTGTTGAGAAAAAAAACAAACAAAAATAATATAAATACATGAGACTTATTTAACAAGTATATTTTCTATCAACTCTAAAAGACTCTCGAAACTACTTCATGTGCAACGAGGGCCTATTGGTTAGAGTTAAAGGGTGACAAAACGGGTCTGATCCGTTGAACATTCTCGTTTTGCTTGCACTTTAGTGCGGAGCGTGTCAAAAATTTAGGTTCTCATCCTCTAATGTAGACATGGCAACGGAGCGGGCCGGGGACGGTTTTCACCTCCCCCAAACCCAAATCCGGATCCCTAACCAATCCCCATTCCCCACCCTAAACCCAAACGGAGATGAGAAATTAAAACCCAAACGAGTTCGGATTGGGTTCGAGTAACTCTGCCCCACCACCATCCATTTAGTAAAATTAATTTTTTAATAAAAATATATATTTTTTTCCAAAATCAAATTACATTATAAATAAAATAAAACAATCTAAATTTTTTTTCATGTATACATTTCAAATATTTTAAATAATAAATATAAATCAAATTATCAAAATAT